AGTTAGATATTTTAAGCAGATAACAGGTAAACTTGTGAATTACGACATCAGCATCTTTAAAGGTGATTTTTTGATATCGTTTTTGTTATTATTACACAATGGGCTGATTGCCGCTCCGTGAAAACGTAGACGTCGCCTGCAACTGTACAAAATTTTATGCATGCTTGTATGGAGAAAAGGGAAACACGAAGTATACACACACTCAATACACTCCCAACAAGCCTTAAGCACCTGGAAAATTAAACCTTAAATTAATTGAAAGTAAAGATGTGCTTAGCAAAGGCCTGTAACTATCCAGGTTCGAGACTCAACCTGTTAACACTCTGCCGACTAACGTTATAGCGGGACCATGCTCGACAGTTACTTCACTAAAGCCCTTGAAATTGCACCTTTGTGTTTCAGTTAAACTTATTTTCAGTTTTGTTTCACTATTTGAATATGTATTTAATCTGTAGTTTGGAGCATTTGGGGGTTTTAGGGTGATACAAATTTGTGATGTCATCCAAATCTCAATTCTGCATTGATTTGTAAAAGCTGCTTTTAATCGGTTGCATTTTCCTGTCGTAACTGTTGATTTTCTTGGCAATTGTTGTTTAATAATGTGGTAATAAGCCAACAAAAAGCCTTTTCTCAGAAATATTTCCAAACATCCGGGGTTATGGGGTTCAAAATTTGAACCTGGAAATATGAAAACTGAACTTTGTCTGCCTAATTTATACGTCATAACAACAGTGCCCTCTCTTCTGTAGGAAGCATGGGTACTTACTCGTTTGTCTTTGAAATACGATACACCTCACCCGATAGGATTTCAAACAGTTTTCATACATTGAAGAAGAGCACAGAGATGTGCAAAAAAGATGCATTCTCAGAAAGACTCTCAGCATGGATCCTTAAAGGCTCATTTACACACGCGAGCGGTAACGAAAAGTAGCCACGGAAAGTGATACGCCACGCGATATTTCATTATTATTAATGGTTTATTCAAAAGACTCTAGCCGTCAAAGGCTGGATTACAGTCAACGTACTATTTTAAGAAGACAGTAAAAATACATTGAATTAAAATCAAAATATTAAAAATATACATATAAAATGTAATCATTCGTTACGAACTACATCAAGTATGAAAGACATGTAAAAGAATAAAACAACGTATTAGCGACCACTCTAATCTAACATCACTGAATTGACAAGTGATTTTCAAAAAGAACAACAACAAAACTTGCATAATGAAACCTAGCTAACATTGATTCAAAATCGACGTTAAAAAATGGATAGAGCTGCATTTGTAGCTGTTGGTCCTACATCTGATTGAAGTTAATTTGTCAGAGTTCCTTAAATTGTTTTTCCTATTACAAGTGGTGGAAGTTACTGTCTGTGGGGGGCAGAGTCAAGTAAGAAAGTGCCGAACTTAAAAGACAGAGCTTCCAGTCTATCGGACACAGCAGGAATGCTACGTGATTGGCAAATATCACTGTAAGGTCGGATTTAATATTAGTCAGCAGTAAAGATTTCACGAAGAGCTTTACGCTGAATTTTCTCCAGGCACTCGTTTCGTGTTTTAGTCGAACCATAAAACCAGATACGTTAAGCATACTCAAGTGTCGGCCAAACGTACTGCAGATATATTGTTAACAAGACACAACTGGAATATCACAGCCTTTCAATTGTCGAAGAAGATACAAGTTCCTGTGAAACGTTTTACAAATGGAGTGAACTTGAGTGTCTCATTTCAATTGTCTTGAACATAGATGCCTAACAATTTAACGTAACTTGCACGTTCAAGATCACTATCTCTATATGAAACGTTGGCATCAGCTGGTAGGAGACGACTGAGATCTAAATTAGGAATATCGTCCTATACTAATTCTGTGATAAAACGTTTGCTTAATTCACTTGTGACGTCATCCGGAAGAAGTCCCAGGATGGAACAGTTCTTCTTTCTGTCAAAACCAATCAACTTCTTAATTTGTTGGTGCCATTGTCTTGGGTTAATTTTTTTTAATCTCCAAACACTGCCATCGTAAAAAAAAACCTGCTTGGCACGCCTTATTATTTTGGCAGTTCTGTTGCGTAAAAGTCGCCACAACGCTTATTTCCCTCTACTAAATGCTTCCTGTCGTTTGAGAATCATTCATTTCAGATGTGAACCTAGGCTTATCCTCGGTGTGAGCCGATTTGACTTTAGCCGGAAAAAACCCATCAAGTCAGTGAATTTTAATTTGTACGCGCAAGGCGGATATCCCTTTGGTATGCATTATGTCGATGACTATCAATACAAGTTACGGTTCACAGGAAGAATCGAAGGCAAAACAAATTCTGTAACGTTATATCAAAAGAGAACGCTGATTGGCCAGAGGGTGCCCTCTCAGTGTAGTATTGTTGAAAAAGGGCTCTGGTTTCTAAACTCTGCGGTTGATCGAGCAACAGCGCGGTTTTTCCGTTCTGAATGTACAAAAAACTATACTCCTGAAAGTAGAAAAACATATTATGCATTTCAAACGAGCGGAATTCCTTACCACTCGTGTGTGTGAATGGACCTTTAATTTCCAATGTCGAAATGAACCATACACTCATTGCACAAATCTATGTGAATGTTTCATATCCAGCTAGACCGAGAGGTTTGTTCTGCAAACTTAACATAGACATCGAATATCGAATATCCAATTAATTTTACTTTTATCGTAGACGCACTTTAATTCAAACATAGGACGGTCTGTTTTCATTGATGTGCTTTTTCAACTATTCCATTTAACTACACTTATTTCTATAGGCCTACTTTGGACAAATAAGCCTACAAATCTTTACGATTTGTGGAGCTAATGCCATATACCTGACGTATCGCCTCTTACGACCATGAGGATAAAAGGAAGGATGCATAAAGAAACCGATGAAAATATGAAGCTAAAGAATTCCAATTACACGCGTTGTCACGTTCAAAGACATATTATTCATATCGAAGATAGTCGAGATCTAATAAAAATTCTCTGGAGAGATTTCAAAATGAGGAGTCACAAATTCTAAAGTCAACGAATAGGATTTATCATCAGAAGTCTGATCTGGATTGTACCGATCGTACATAGATTATTAAAACATTCATCTTCCGTACTTTATTTGATCAATTTCGATAAAACAAAACACAGAGGGAATATGGAGCAGCGGGCTGGGCATTGGCCGCTTAGTATTTTCACACATAGCGAACCAGCTGGATAAAGTATCAGTCGAAACTGACAAAGACGCACCGCGTGATATGTACATATACGTCCGTTCGTATGGCTTCCCAATGTACAATGAAGACCAAAAAAGCTGTTGGTCATTTTGCTTCCCGGCCCTTCGCCTTTCGAATCAGTGGTCTCTTTCGTTTGTCGTGATGGAATCAGTGGAGATCTATTGATTTATCGTAGTACAGAAATGCCAAGGGACAGACTGGGCAAAGGCTCGGCGTGTACTCCTATATTTCAAACAAATTCTGAAAATGCTCTGGACCAGAACACTTTTCAAATTTGTTTAGAAAGGGTAGTGGAGCTGCGAGGCACTCTCAGATAACTATGGTCATAGAAAAGAAATCAATTCACTTCCGGTGGATAGTACGTTGAGAAGATTACAGTGCATGCCGAAGAAGACTGCTTATTCTTCGCGTGTGCGTAAATCAAATGAAGTGGAAAATCAGGCCTAAAATGCATGCACCTGATTTATCAGTTTGAAAGGAGGCGTGCATCATTGCCGCATGACCTAGGTGATACAAAAGTTATCTGTTCTCACATTCTTGCCAGAGTCAAGACAGCTCACACAATACATACGCTCAACCATTATGTTACCTTTCATGAATCACGGCACATTTCATGAATCAGTTGCCTTATAATGAAAACTTAAGCCCTCAGCCCTTGGCCCCAAGCTTCGGTACATGCCTCCATAATTGCCGACGAATTTATTGTTCTTTTTTCACCACCGGCCTATCGAAATGTATAATATTAACTACACATATATTTATTGATTGGTCAACTTGACTAGTACACAATTACAATGAAATTCGAAAGAAACAGCAACAGCGAACCGACAAGGACGATAAATATAAAATATATCAAACGGGTGTTAAATAAAACACCAAACGCAGTAGGTTAAAGCTCCTGGCAGTTTTGCAAAAGATGTTATTTGTTCGTTCGTTTGTTCGATGGGGTGTTTGTTTGTTTGTTTGTTGGGGTGTTGGGGTGTTTGTTTGTTTGTTTGTTGGTTGGTTGGTTGGTTGGTTGGTTGGGGTTGTTGGGTTGTTTGTTTGTTTGTTGGATTGTTGTTGGTTTGTTTGTTTGTTTGTTTTATTTGTTTGTTTGTTTGTTTGCTTACTTACTAAACTCGAAACTCGAAAGAACAAGTTAAATGTTTCGTTTTCTGGCATAGCCTATAACGAGCCCACGACAATGAATTTATTAAATTTTCAATCATGAATTCCAAGCCTTCTACCCATCTTGAATCGTCAAGGGTATCGTTTGTATAGTTTCTCGTTAGCAAACTCGAAAGAACAAGTTAAATGTTTCGTTTTCTGGCATAGCCTATAACGAGCCCACGACAATGAATTTATTAAATTTTCAATTATGAATTCCAAGCCTTCTACCCATCGTCAAGGGTATCGTTTGTATAGTTTCTTGTTAGCAAGGATAAAACGTTACAACGGCGCAGAGACTTGACGCAAAGCTAATTAAGCTGGCATTATCTACCTCGCATAAGTTCATATGGTATTATTTCCCTCTTGAATTTTTGATGACGCAAATGACCAATGAGCGACGAGTTTGGTGATTATGCAAACGTAGCCATTTGCAGTACGTTACTTTGGAGTAAAGTATTCTGTCTATGCATTCATTGATAATGTCAGCGTTGTCGCTTCTTCTCAGTCAAAATGCAGTCGTGAGCGGAGGTAGTTCAGCTGTCATTGACGGTTGTAACACTTGCCTTGTAAACCTCAAATCTTATTTTACCTTCAATTCATTCTGTTGATTTTTGTGCATTAGTGTTTTGGGGCTGGATGCATTTCAGTCATGTTTCGACAAGCACAGGTTCATCCTGAGGCTGATTCGCCAAGATGTGTAACACCGTCGGCCGAACTCGAAACGGCCGGCAAACGAGGCACTAGATGGGGGCTTGGTTTGTTCCGAAATCTCCAGGGGGGGACGTTGAAGAAACAGCAGCGGCGTCAGGTTTGGGTCATGGTGGTCATGACGCTCATTCCAATCGTGACCCTGGCCATCCTGGCGATTGTCCTGATGACCAACTCCAGCTCCAATAACTCCCGGCTGAGCTGGCTGCGGGAGGAGGTCGGCGGCAGCGTGCAGAACGCCGGGCACCTGGTGCACCGCCTGCAGATTGAGAGGGGTAGGACAGCATTCTATCTCTCGTCCAGAGACGAGGCTGAGATTCCCAAGCTCCAGACGATCTACCAAAAGACGGATTCTGCCATCGCTAACATCTCTTGGGTAAATGATAACTCTCTTATGTTGCCGGATTTCTTTGAAAGCAAAGAACTCTATAAGGATCACCTGGAGCGATTCCGACGAACTGTGACATCAGCTATCACCAACGTGACCCTTGTGGAAGTTATAACTTTCTACACAAATGACATAGATGTCATCACTGGCTGGCTCTTGCAGGCCGTTCAGTCGTATGACCACGCTGGAGGACTTTGGTCAAAACTTATTTCTTATCAGTTACTGCTCCTAGCTAAGGAGAACGCGGGTAAAGAACGGGCTATTGGAGGCACGTTCTACTCGCGTGGGGGATTCAACTTACATGATGACTTTTTATGGTTCATGAACGAAAGCGTATCAGGGAAAACCCTCCTCAATACAGCCATGCGATTCTCATCGTTTCTGCAAGAGGCCTCTGAAGTTGCAGTTGACAAATATGTGGTCAGTCAAATCGATGCGATGCGATCCGAGATCAAACTAAATGACCACCAGTCGCTCGAATCTTCGGTAGTCAAGGGTGACATATGGTTTCAGAACATGACTCAGTTCATTGACGACCTTCGAGAAGTGCAGATCACGCTGGGTGGCTCCATCATAGAGGATCTGGATACGGACATGCGGTGGAGCCTCTACAATTTGGTGGCCTGCGCCTTTCTTCTCTCCACGGTTCTCATCACTGGTCCGTTGATTATCCGCGGCATCATCCACCAGACTCAACAAATCCAACGGGTGGGGGACTCCCTACACCGCAAGACCCTGGAGCTCCGGGAAGAGAAGAAGAGGTCGGACTCGCTGCTGTATCAGATGCTGCCCAAGGTGGTGGCTGAGCAGCTCAAGCTGACGGGACAGACTACCGCTGAGACCTACGACGAGGTGACGGTGTTCTTCTCGGATGTGGCCAACTTCACTGCAATGTCTGCCATTAGCACACCCATTCAGGTATGTTTCGTGTATAAGAATGCACATCTGGTGATAATGATGCTTGTTGAGAATGGTAAGCATTAGCGTAACTGGGTTGAAGCTCCTGGGGATGGGGGCAGCTGAGATTCACGGGAGGGACAAAGGCACACGAACTGCAGCTCGTATTTGGCTTTTGGTGCAATCCCAGTTTTCAGACGGCGGGGGGGGGGGCACCCAGGGACATGGACACCCGCTGTGTTGTTCATGGCAGAAAGAACACAAAAGCGTACCCGCAGCCTGTGCAACATTTCCTTTACTAGTTTTAAACATCCAAGCGCCAGTGACATAATACAGGCTAATAAGTTTATCTACATTAAGCTCTTATACGCAGAACAGTTTCATTAAAGCTACATAAAAAATATCAAGGTATGATTTAGACCTCGGTGGTAAAAATTAATATTTGTCTTCATTATTTTACATATTAAAAACATTTAAACGCTGTTCTTTTTCTGTTTTTTCATTGCATTTCTTCGACTCTTCTTTTACCACTGCAACAACGCAACTTGTTTTCCCCATAAACTATGGCAGCAGACGGGGATTGGTTGTACCCTATCTTCCAGCCATGTAGCTTGACCAACATATACTATTCTTTGTACTTCATTGAGGGCGCTTGAACCCTGTGGTGCATAGACCTCTCTCTCGTCTTTAATCAACGCTTTGCACGTCGCCTTCTTTTTATAGGCTATGCAATCAAATGAGGAAACAGGTCAATCGTAAAGCGCCCTCAACTGGCAGTGTGGGTGTGTATGCTCTGTTGCCATGTCCTTTTTCAAGAAAATCTTAAAATCTTGTCGAGAAAACTTGAAAAAAATTGAAAATTATACATAAATATACATTTCATTTAGATATGAGTTTACTGGTATTCGTTTTAAATTACTGATCTTGAAAGGCGTCTGGATGCCATACTTAGGTTCACACTCCGTGTGTAAGCATAGGCTAGGCACGTAACTCACGTCTTGTTCCAAGCACGAGCCTATGATAGAAATGTAGTATCCAAGTCATGCTATACTGTCTTGTGGGTGTCAGTCTGTACAAAATAATGGCGCCAGTTTACTGTACTGCTTGCTGCAATTTTTTTTCTTTGTGAACACAAAAAAGCAGTATAGGCCTACATGTAAATTACATAAAAAATTATCCAGTGGGAAACACTGTATCTTACATTACCTATTACTCATACAGGCGACACGGCCAGGTTCGTAGGAGCTGTGTCTGGGGTCTACAAAAAAACCCGGGGCGGGACTTACTAAAATCTCACATTTTGCGATAAAACTCCCACGCCACGCCGACCACTGATGCACACATGGGATGTTTTGAAAAGTTTTAGTGCTGCTCGAATATTTGATTCGTTTGTGTGAATCTATTGTGACGATTCAAGTAGCTCATCTGTGTGTGTCAAGATTGCAAGAAGGACATGCATTATCCTACTCATGTTTGAGTAACAAGAAAACTGTGGGCGTATATATAAAAGAATTACAAAGGCAAACTTTGCACATCAACAATGACCGACTCGAGTCTAAGTCCGAACCTGAGTCTTACAACACTAACATCCATAATCGGAGTCATTTTGTAGGACTTAAGTGCCTTTTCTATTGCGATATCAGTTGTTTAATTGAAAAAGACATTGTCCTAGCGGTTATAATTTTGAATTTTCAGTGAAATACACAAGGCCAACCTCTTTCTTAGCATCACGACCGAGCGGCGCAATTTCTCCCCGAGTTTGCGTTGTTTTCTATGGGCGCGTATTTAGTTAGTACAACCGGAAATCAATAGACCTCCGATAAATTCATAATTATGCACGCATACAGGTTGGCTCCAAGAACACTAACAATGTAGTTTATACTTCTTGTGATGAAAGGGGGCCATACCAAGAAACGGCGATCTCGTGCGCACAGGAAAAATTACGATTGTAAAGTCTTTTTACAGATAACTAAGAATTCCACTTAAATTAGAAACTAATACCGAAAACGATTTAATGGGAGATAAACCTGAGAGATAATGATCACCAAAGTCCATCCCTGTACATTTTCAATGGCCTGCTCACACTTCTTGCCGCCAAGGCCATTTGTGCGCATGCGTGCATAGTTATGAATTTATCAGTGAAAATACCCATTGTTTTTAACATTGCACATGCCCAATAGTTACACTGAATTAAATTTTAGTCTCACTGTGACTAGCATTATGCCGTTGACTGCACTTCTCGCGGCATTCATTCAACGGCATCTGACAAAATTATTTCACCTGAAGCGTTTCCTCAGCATTGATAAATTTAATTGGTGTTTGATAACCAACGGTGTGACCTTTCCCCGTGCCTGTTCCTAACTGCCGTCTAAATGGTTCGGTCGGTGTTGGTCAAACCAAAGTCAATTATAGTCGTTGTTTGAATTTACCCCTGGGAAGAAGTCAACCAGATTTCTTCCTTATGTGTATTTCACAGCTACCAGATTGTGATATACACAAAATATTGCACTGCGCCCTCTATGCTGCTATCGAAAAACAAGCTTCTTACCACTGAAACCAATCTGCCGGAGGACAAGACCTTAGCATGCTCAAATCATTGGTCAGGCTCGTCTCGATCAGAGGGAGACCCAGGATTTTCAAAAAAATTACTGTCCCAGTCTGAATGGACCAAAAACTAATACCTTACAGCACGAACCTCCCCCGATCATTGGATTATTTCTAGCGGAATTAAAGCGGTTCTTCAAGATCTGTGCGATTATACAACTTTTGGAACATTGCCTTAAGTACAAGTAAAAGGGTATGTTACAAAGTGCTTAACTTTAGGCCTACTTTTGCTAGGCGGGCTCAGATGATTTAAACAGGTGAAACGAGTTTGATGGCGCAAGATAGCACGGCAAGATACACTTTGGATGCATAGTCGGGAACAAACAATAAATCTTAGTGTAGCAACCAGCTTTTTTGTCTGTTTGTTTGTTGGGTTGTTGGGGTTGTTTGTTTGTTTGTTTGTTTGTTGGGGTGTTTGTTTGTTTGTTTGTTTTATGAAAGGCAGTTTACGCGAATTGTAAAATCTCAAAAACGGGACTTTCAAATTATCTTTAAATATCTTATTGTAAAGTAAGTAAAAGAAAAACAATAGTGTCAGAACAATAGTTCAGACAATGTGTGAAATCTTCCAGCCCCGAATGCTGTCATTCTCGAGCAAGGAGAAATTTTATACTTTTTCCAACGATCGTTCGGACGGATGATCTTTGGAAAATAAAGAAACCGTTAATGGGTGCTACAGAAAGATAATATGTGTGGGTGCATTTAGCTGTTGGAGGAGTTTGTATTAACGGGTAAAATTAAAAGTTGCCAACGCGCCTTCGGTGCGCCCAGACACATTATTATGTGATAAACTAGATATAGGCCTACAACCCTGATTGATAGGCAAAAGGAGAATTTTGGTTGGTTTGAAATTAAAGTTTCTTTGTGAAACAAAGCGTTCATCTCAAGAGGATCACCATCTCAAAATCCCCCTTAAGTTAATGCGATGGTCCAAACATAGCACGCCACGCAAGATGGCCGCTAGTTTTTTAGTTCCGTTGCGAAGCTTGTTTTCTCGAACAAAATTACGAGACATTTGACCTCCCTTGTTCCAATTACAATACCTTTCATGCCCCAGAAGCAAGGATAGTTACCACATTTGTCGATTTATAAAGTGTTATGATATGCGGTGTGGACGGTCTATTCCTTCCTCCATGAACTGACGTACGTGAAACGAACTACGACTGTGTGGTCGGTTGTGCTCATGTAGTCGCGCAGTGAGCGTGACAATCTTTGACGTGTAGTCACTTTAATGCACGGTGAAGTGTTCATTCGACAGATTCCCAGCGATGCATTATTGAAGGAGATAAAACTTGACATGCTTGAAGGTAAATTTGCCACCCCTGGCACTGCTCGAAGCCGTAGACAAAATGTACTTTTTGAGGGTCATTGATCTGCAGATCGACCTCGCTTGAGCACCATTCATGGACTTGGAAACGTCCTGTGTGGCCCATAGATTTTTGCAAGACAAATTACCCGAGCTGCACTTTAAGTGATCAAAAGTAACTAACAAATCGGCCAATTTTGACAAATAGACATAGAAATCGTGGACACTCTGTTTAATATGCGTGGTATGATTTATAATAAAACTATAAGGCAAGAGCGTCACAATATCAAGAAAGTAAAGATTCATCGTTGTGTTTGTATAAAGAGATAAGTACTGTTCACATTACTTAATACACATAGCATAAAACTGAATTTAAAAGTTTCCGTTGCCTGTTCCTTAATTTGCCTTCAGCAATTCATCAGTCCGTGTCCGCTCGGCACAATTTTGTCCGTTTGCTTGGCATCTTTCTGATTTGTCAATTTCTCTAACTGTCCTTTTTTCAATTTTCAGTGTAATGTATTTTTATGTAATGAATTTGATTACTTAGTGAATTTCGTTTCAGTATGAATTGCATGCTGTATTGTGTCGACGTAACTGCCTTATCTAATTGTATTTGCCTGTAACATTAATTAAGAAGATGTCTTGCACCAGGCTTAGCGCGCTTTACATGATTAGCGGAATTTTGGGTAGTCGTCCTCTCTAACTGGATGAGCGTACAAATGGCAACCTTTCACAATGCAATAAAAGCAGAGTCCACACAATTGGAAAAACCATTAAATTTACCAGAGCAGAGTTACAGCTGGTGCTGGATTTGTGAAGGCAACCACGACGTGCGTGCATGCCTAAAAAGTTGAGTTTATCCGCCCTGAGCTGAAGTGCACCCTCACCGGCGAAAAAAAGACAGATGGTACTAAGTTTCCCAACCGGGTTCTTGCACGCGTTCGAAGTGCGTGCACGCGAAGACCGCACATTCCAGACACTGATCTCCATTATGAAGACAGAGATCAATGTTTCCAGACTACTAAATTCGTTGCACGTACCCACTGTGCTCCGCGTCAAACGCTCGTAAACGTACCCACCTATGCAGTGAATGCGTACCAAATAAAGACATATAATCGCAGAGGCCGCCGGTCTTGCTCGTAAAACCGAGAGTTTGTGAAAAGTCTGGGCAAACACT